AAAGGTAAGAGTGACAGCCAATGTCCCCCCTAATTTCCACCCCCCCTACTGAGTGGAGCAGTTCACATCCTGAGCAGAATATCACTGTGGGGCTCCAGACTGCTGCTGAGCGGGCCTTCCGGTGTTCATGAGCGGTCGCACAGCTTAGAGGGAACACTGCTTAGAGGTGCTCTTAGATCCAGGTTTACAGATGGACATCTAGGTTTCCTCTGCCTTGAATCAGCTTGGGCCGATTTGCCAGCTTCAGTCATTGCTTGAGAAGCAAGACAGGTATCCATCCACTGGAGACCTCCAGGCTAAATTAGTGTAACACACTCTCCTCGAAGTACCCTTTGAAGGAAGTCCAGAAACTTCGTTTAGTTCAAAAACAATGAAGCAAGTTCGAGGACAGGTGTCAGCTACCAGGTCTATTTCATGTATTTATTGCTTCATTTATAGTTCACTGTTCCCACAACGACTCTAGGAGATTGTCTGTTGGTGGCATTCAAGTACCTAAAGAGCTGCACTGCTCGCAATTTGTGAGCAGCCGTGATTCAAACGGCAGCTTGAGGGAATGAGATAAGCATATGGAGTAGAAGTCCATTAGTGGCTATGAACCACAAGGTATAGATAGGAACTCTCAGGCTGGGGCAAGTGATGCTCTGTATTCTTGGAGCTGGGAGGGCAACAGTGGGAGGGCTTCAAGTGTCCTGGCCCCACTGCTGGACCTCTCAATGTTCCCTCTAAGCTGTGGAGTTTTGTGAGCAAAAATTCTACTTTGTGAGCTACTGGAATTAAAGTTGTGAGCGAGTGATTTGGCTACTGCATAAATTAGTTTGCTCTGGAGCCGTCCTTCCTGAGCTAAGACAAAAAAGTGTGAGCCAGAGGCTCAAAAACCGTGAGCTAGCTCACACTAACTCAGCTTAGAGGGAACACTGCTCCTGATGGCGCCTGGTATTTTTGGCCACTGTGTGACAGAGTGTTGGACCAAATGGGCCGTTGGCCTGATCCAGCATTGGCTTCTCTTGTGTTCTTATGTTCTTCTTACCTTTAAAGCTCAAACAGTCTGGAACTGAGGGATCTAAAGGATTCTCTGCTCCTTTCAATCTGCTAAGATCTGTACCAAAGTCTTTGTTCCATATGTTCCTCGACCCCGGGACTACTTCAAGATATTTTGTTCCCAAAGCTAAGTGCACTCATTCCCCCCTGGGCCTGTCCCACTGCCAGCAGGGTCCAATCCATACCCCTATGCTGTTGCTCACTCTTCGACTGATTTCATGCTTGTGTTTGTACTTGAGGAGACCGTTCTCCAAATGCATTGGGGCTGAACGTTATTCATCAGGCGATATTATTTACCTCCATGCCATGAAAAGCTCCAGCAGCCCATTTCCACACGTTCAGGTTTATTAAAAAGAGGGGTCATTGTTCCCCAGGCCTGCTGGCAATCCTAAATCACCCTGGTCCCTCCCCCCACCACTGTTTGCTAGCTGACAGCGGTTATATATCAGATTGTTTCAGAAAAGACAGTATGTATTTTGCCGCTTCCTTTGCAAACACAAGAAGAAACAGATAAATCTTATCACAGCAGTCAATTTATCTGAAGTTTAGTAACAGAATGGGCATTTATGACCACACAGTCAAGCGGCAATTTGCTAATTGTACAGATCTCACTGTCATTGGGCAGGGTTTTTTTTCCCTTGTCTCCTCAAAAAACAAGCATAGTCTTCTTTCAACTCTACCTGCCGACTGTAGGTAACAAACATAAAGAGAATGTGAATTTGCCCAGGTTACTTTGCACTTACCTGCTACCAGTGTTCCCTCTAAGCTGAGTTAGTGTGAGCTAGCTCACAGTTTTTTAGCCTCCGGCTCACACATTTTTGTCCTAGCTCAGGAAGGATGCCTCCAGAACAAGTTAACTTATGCAGTAGCTAAACTGCTCACTCACAACTTTAATGCCAGTAGCTCACAAAGTAGATTTTTTGCTCACAAGACTTCACAGCTTAGAGGGAACATTGCCTGCTACATAGTGGCAAAATATGGTGCTTTTTGTTGTGGTGCTGTATTCTCTCTCTCTTACTGAGAACATATATGGCGGGAGCGTGAAGCAGAAAAGGAAGCCAATGGCTGTAATGTTCAGAGAAGCTGCTTTTTGAGGGACAAAAAGCCTCTGCCAAACAACCGGCTGCCACAAAGATCTTAAAGGCAAAGTGCAGCAAATTCATTTGCCTTCAGAGGCTTTGAACAGGTTAAAAACTGGTCTATGACCTGTTCTCTCCTTTATATGGAGAAAATCTCATCTGGCAACTCGCCAGAATGGGAGAAAAACTGGTCATGCCAGTGGGAAACAGGCCAACCAATAACACCAGGAGCAACAGAGGCAGCTGACAGAGCATTCCTGAGGAGTCATCCTGCCAGTTTTTATTTACCCACACCCCCAGTGCCTTCTGAGAGCGATGGTTCCAGGAATACCTGATTTGCAATCCATTCCAAATAATAACAATTATAATAAAAGCCAAGAACTTGGCTAGATCTCAGATTGCAGAACACCATCTACCAGTCAAGTATCTGACTGGGACAATTCTTCATAACGATACAGTGCAGCTAGCTATGTAGTAGGACATCTCTAGTCCAAACCTTGCCTTGAACGGGAATTCAACTAAGGCTGCGGTCACACGGAGCATTAACCATGCTACAGAGACGGAAGATAGGCGGATTTTCCCGGCGCGATCAAACCGCAACATCTGGGAAGCATAGAGCTCCCATGGCGAACCCGAGGCTTCCCGCAGAAGATGCACTGTAAAAAACTAGTACCTCCGAGGTACTAGTTTCTGGAAACCGCGGGGCAAGGGCGGGCGTCTGATCATGTTTCCGGTGGTAGCTTGTGGCATCCGGCGCCTGCCCATGTCCCGTCGCAAAAAGTTTTTTTTTCTTTTAAATCTCCACGGGATGCGCACAAGCACCCAACGGCACATGCACACACTTTGGTTAAAAAAAACCCCACAACCCCAGCCGCGCTGCTTCTTTGCCGCGCCGTAGGATTGACGTATGATCAGCACCTCCCCCCGAACCACGGGACGTCGGCGGGACGTTTGATCCGGTGGCCGCGCGGTAGTTCGCTTCGGGGCAAACAGCCATGCCTCCCCCCCGCGATATCCGGCCCGTGTGACCGGGGCCTAAGTAGCCCTTGGCTACCATTTTAGGTGACCGTTAGTCCCTCTCTGCAATGAGGACAACAGTAGCCTATCTCACCTGGCTGTCTGTAAGGATTATCAGGTAATGGACATGAAATGGTGTGAACACTATAATTTATGTACATTAAACAGTGAGTGGTGGGAAGTGCCCTCAAGTCACAGCCGACCTATGGCGACCCCCTAGGATTTTCAAGACAAGAGGTATTTTGAGGTGGGTTGCCATTGCCTCAAGGCTGGATTAAGTATTTGAAAAAGTGTGCCTTGCACACGAAAGCTCACACCTTGATTAAACCTTTGTTGGTCTTAAAGGTGCCACTGGACTCTAGCTTTGTTCCAGGGCTGATCCAGCTTAGCTTCCAAGATCTGATGAGATCCACCTAGCCTGGGCCATCCAAGTTAAGGAGAGATATTAAGATCATAAGAACATAATATAAGAGACGCCAATGTTGGATCAGGCCAATGGCCCATCTAGTCCAACACTATGGGTGCGTCCAGACGCGGCATTTGTAACGGAATAGGTGACGATTCCAACCGGTGTACTTACCGGCGTTCACATGGTGAACATCTGCCTCCCGTCCCTAACCGTTACAAAGCCGTTTACACCGTTGTACTCTGCCACTAGATCCCAAGTGGTGGTAAACAGAGTGCAACGGTGGCTTCCGATACAAACCGGCATCTGATCGCTCTCCACCGGTGCCTAGCCACTTCCGTCGGAAGCCTGAGGCTTCCGGCTTTCCCCCGCCATTTTTTTTTTAAACTCTAAGCGATATGCGCTCGGGCGAAGCTTCGCCCCGAGCGTTTGTGAAGGGAAAAAAAAGCCCTTACTTTACCTTCCCGGAGGAGTCCGAGGCCAGGTTGGGCTTTAAACTTTAAAGGTAAGTGCTTACCTTTAAAGTTTAAATGTAAGGGGGGGGGGTTGAGCATGCGCAAAAATCGCCATTCTCTGAATGGCTGCCTGTGCGCATGCTCAAACAGTCCTTTAAAAAAAAAAAACGCCGACGCCGGAGGGCTCCGCAGACAGGAGGGTGAGTCTGATCGTGTTTCTGCCGGCATAAACTGCACCGGTTCCAACCGGTTCCAACTGGAACAGAGTTCCAGCTGGCTTCAGAGTTGGCCACGCCCACCACAGCCAAAACCTCTGGGTATGCATGGCTACAGAGGGAAGGCCTGGAGAGCGACCCCTGCGCAACTCTGAGGGGGCAGTGGAAGGATTGGGGAGGTATTTAAATGCTTCCCCATGCCTTCCCCAGTGTGTCCAGGGCCCGCTTGCCCAGGCTCCCCGCAGCTGCAGGGCACCTGAGGAAGCCAAGGGAACGCCGTTTAAACTGCCTTCTCTTCCCTTCAAGGGGGGCCTTGCCCAGGCTCCCGGCAGCCACAGGGCAACCAGGCAAACCAAGGGAAGGCATGGGGTGTGACCTATTATGCTAATGAGTTTCTGCTGTTGGGTGTGGCCTATTATGCTAATGAGTTCCTGCTGGGCTTTTTCTACAAATAAAGCCCTGCCTATATTAATAATAGTATAATTAGTGACCCATTCATAAGGGCGGGGGTCTGCAGTCACCGCCTCTCAAGAGTCTTCATCAGATTTGCTAAGAACACTGTCCCTCTTCTCCCAGCACTCCTTCCGCACCCCCTAAAGAAACCTTTAGAGCTCGCGCGTGCGCACTAGGGCTCCTCTCAGGCCTTTTCCGTTTAACCCAGCCTGGCGGTCGGAGAGCGCACGCGCGCCGCCCCCCCCGGCCTCCGCCGCAGCCCGGCAAGAGCCGAAGCCCGTCTTCGGAGCCGAAAGCCGGCGAGCCTTCTCCGGCGCGTGCGCGCTGGAGAGTTCCGATCGCCCCTCCTCCCTCACCGCGGCGGGCGGTGGCTGTTCCGTGGGCTGACGCTCCTCCCTCGCGGCTTCCCCGGCTAGGCCCCGCCCACTCCGCGAGCTCAACCACCGAGGGAGAGGCGGCTGCGCAGCGACCGGACCGGCGGCAGCGACATCAGGAGCAGCAGCAGCAGCGGGAGGCGACAGCGAGGCTCGCAGAAGCGGAGGAGGCCCGAGCGCCGCCGCCATGGTGAAGATCGCGTTCCAGTCGCCCTTCGCCCACAAGGACGAGCCCAAGAAGGAGGCGGCGGAGGCCCTGGTGGCCGACAAGGTGCGGCGGGGGGTTTTTGGGGGGTGAGGGGCCTCCTGCGCCGCCATTTTGTGCACACCGGGCGGCGAAGAGGGGGAGAGAAAGAGAGAGAGAGAGGCCGACCTCCCCGCCCCCCGGCCCCTCACACGCAGTTCAAAATGGCGGCGGAAATATAAACACGCGCCTCCCCTCGCCCCCCAAAAGGGGCAAACGGGAGTTGTCGTTGGGGGTAAACCGGAGCGGAAAGTCGCTCGGGTGGTTCCCAGCAAGGCCCGCTCTTGAGGGGAAGGGGGAGACCGCGGAAGGGCCGCGCAGCAGGGCCGCTTTCGCTTCCTCCTCGTCGCCAGGCAGGTTTCGCCTCCCAGGGGAGGGGCGCTCGGTTTCGCTTGCAAACTCTGCGGCGTGGGAATGGAGGAGGGTTGGGGCTTCTGCCCGGGACTCCTCCCGCAGGCTGGCTTCGCGGAAGGGACGGGACGTTAATAGTAGATGCGACTGCGCTTGCTGTGATACACATATCCTAACCGATGCACGTTTCAGTCCCCTTCAGCGACCGTTTGTCGAGCGGGTTTTGCTGTTTCACGCACGCACGGTGGGCGCTTTCAGACACAGGGAGTAAGGCATTTTCAGTGCACTTTGCAGGTGGATTTTATTGTGCGGAGTGCCGGGTTCCACTTACAAATTCTCGATGAAGTGGATCGGGACGGCTTTATTTAGCATGGGTGGAAGCGCCCACCGTTGCAAAGTGCGTTGGAAGTGGATCGAAAGTTTATGATGTAGTGTGTGAAAGCGCCCATTATGTCTTTCGTAGCGAGCTTGTAAAATTCACACGTCAAAGAGTCGGGAGGAGACATTTGTCTTGGTGTCTGCGGGCGGGCACTCCAGCTGTAGCTGGGATTAAGAGAGTTGAAAGACAGCCACTGGACTGTCCACCTATCCATATCAAACATATGAGGATGGACTTTGCAGTCTGGCGCAACCCAGGGGTGCCTGGCTGCAGCTAGGAACTGGGTGGTGTCACTGTAGATGTAACCAGTGTTCCCTCTAAGCTGAGTTAGTGTGAGCTAGCTCACAGTTTTTTAGCCTCTGGCGCACACATTTTTGTCTCAGCTCAGGAAGGATGGCTCCAGAGCAAACTAACTGATGCAGTAGCCAAATTGCTCGCTCACAACTTTAATGCCAGTAGCTCACACAGTAGAATTTTTGCTCACAAGGCTCTGCAGCTTACAGGGAACATTGCATGTAACTTGATCGGGACAAAAGGGTTGCAACAGTTGCATTTTGTAACAGGCTTTGTTCCCTTTCCTCCCCTGGCCCCCATGCCAAGGAGAGGGTGCATTTCTGGATGATGCAGAATGCCCATGTTGAAGGAGAGTTTGGAGGGTATTTATTTATTTATTTATTTTATTCTATTTATATCCTGCCCTCCCCACACGCGGGGTATGTGAATTGCTCAGGTTTAGTGGAGGAATTAGGTAAAGGTAAAGGTTTCCCTTGCTCGAAAGCCAGTCTAGGGATGTGGTGCTCATCTCTGTTTCCAAGCCAAAGAGCCTGTCCAAAGATGTTTCCGTGGTCATGTGGCCAGCATGACTAGACGCCAAGGCACACAGAACACTGTTACCTTCCCACCGAAGCAGTACCTATTTACTTCCAATTTCTTGCTTTCGAACTGCTACATTGGCAAGAGCTGGGGCCAGAGATGGGGTCTGTCATGCGGCTCTCGGGTCTCTAACTGCTGAACTACCGACCTACCGGTCTGTAGTCCAATGTCTTAACCACTTGAGCCACCACAGCTCCTAGTGGGAAAATTAGAAAAGGGTAAAAGTTTAGCCTGTTCTAGCCCTTCCCTTTTTACTTCCCTAATAGTGGTGTCTGTTTAAAGCTGTTTCAGGGCTTTATCTTCCTTGGAACTTCTGCCCCTAGGTTGCTGACGGTGCTACATGTTTGGGTGTGGGGAGGTGGGAGGGGCGGTTGTCCAAAAAGCTCTGTGACTCATTCCCACTTCACAGAAAGTGAAAGCTGTTGCCAGAGCGTACATATTCGTGCACTGTTGCATATGCAAGTGTTGTGTGAATCCATTTCACTGCATAGTGGGAGCTGCAGGCGGTTGTGGTTCCTTGCTGAATGAATGACATCTGGCTGTTTCACATGTGATGGAATGTGTAACATGGCCCTGAATATCTCAAGGGCTGCTTTGTGCATTAACATATTTGGGTCTGTACACCATCATGTTAGAAACAGCTGCATCTTTCTTCTGTGTGGGTACATGCTGTTGAAAGCTGTGGCTGGGTGTGATTGCCCTGTGGTGTGTTCAAGACACCCTTGTCTCCCAGTTGTCACAATAAATGGGGATATTGCTCCTATTAGCTTAAACCTTTTGTTAGTTTTCATTTGTGCATGTGTCTGTAGTTGGTGCTTCAGGTGGTGGTTGCCAGCTCAACTGTATATTTAGGGGTCCTACACTCTTAATCTTGTAAATCCAAACATGCATGATCTGAAATCACAATTAAAATACAGACACGCTTTGTATCACATTATCTGTTATATGTGTGGCTTAATGTGAAGATTTTTTTTTTTGAAAGATGCAAGACCAAGCTTAGAAATACAGGGAAAAACTCACCCTAGCTTCCCCTACCCCCTTCATATTTAGAGTTTTGGTTAATGTGCAAACTACTTGGTTTATTAAGGTAAAAATTAAAAGGATAAGGCTGGTGTTCTTGGGTGATTTTTAGAAAATAATAAATGGAGTTAATAGTGCCTCTTCAATCTACATGTAGGTGTGTGTGAATGGACATAAAGCTCCCAAGGGGTTATGGGGTTACCTATGATCCTAAAACATTTGCATGGAAACAAGCCCTAAGCCACACACCCATGGCTCATTTTTTGGCAAGAGGCTTCCCTTAGCAAAGTGGAAAGATAAAATCAGGTGCCACCTCGTATAACAGGAGCTTCATACGAGATAATCTTGTCTCATTTCCAGTTTGGCAGCTGGAGAAGGGGTAGAGTAATACATATGGCTAAGATCAAGTGTAGTATCAGATGGGAAGGGTTGCTGTGTTTTGCTACAGAGGTGTTCTCTCTAAACCCATGTTCATTTCAGGCCTGATGCGTTGAACTGAAATGTGCATGAACTCTTCCTTCAGCTTTCTATAAACCTTTTGCAGCAAGTGCAAGATCCGCTCTCCCCCACTCACCCCAAGTGTTTCACAATTCATTCTCTTGGGATCCTGAAAGTGAAAGCATTGTTAAGAGTATGGTGGGGTTTTTTTTTTAACAAAGCAGCTGTTGTGAATAGCCCTTCTCTCTGAATGTGGGTATATAGATTCGTAATAGACAATCTGTTGTATATATGCACGCTCCCAGGTCTGACCCTGACACCTCTAAGTAAAGGGTTTGAGAGAGAGCTTTGCTTGTTGGCATCTGTTGCCAGTTGGACCCAAGTGTCATGCAATGGTGGCAGACCTGTGCCCTCAAAGTATGTTCCAATCTCATATAAAGGAGGACTGAATGCTGTATCCTTCCCCTGCAGTGTAACACACACACCCCGTCCCCAAGTCAGGCTCTGAAAATAAGCTTGTGGGTGGCAGAGAAGGCCTGGGTGAAGGGCCCGGGGAGGTTCAGCATTTGCCAGCTGTGCTGATGCTTTAATTGTACAGCATCAGGCTTAAAAATTTATTTGATTCTTAGCTTTAGATGTGATTGGGTAACCCAGTGCTTGGAGATGGCAGGTCTGTCCAGAGTTGTAGCCTCAAAATAGAATAGGCTCTGCACTGCTGGTCTGAGTCAGTGTAAGGCAGCTGGATCTGTTCAGACACGCACTTGTTAATGCTCTAATGAAATGCTGTTGGCAATTGCTTGAAAATACAAATAGCTGCTTGGGGTCATGATTGCCAGTTAATTTATGGGCTCAGTCAATAGCATGCAGTATGTAGACTCTTGGATGGATTACAAATCAAAAAGCAGTATCTGTTTGGCTGAGTACTGACTTGACTGCTTTCAGAAATAATGCTGAAGTACAAAGTGCTAATGCACACAATTTCTATCAGCTGCAGACTTGTAAGCTAATATGTAGAGGTGCAGTTCAACATTTAGGCTCTTGTGCAATGTTAGCTAGTCCAAAGGATGGGGGCCAAACTAGATGGATCTCCCAAGTATTTTTATTGACATGTAGAAGCCGGGGGGGGAGGCTTTTCCCCTGTGTCATGTTCCCATCCTTAATCTTCTGGAGCTTCCTTTTGCCCTGCTGAGGGAAACATACATAGCATTTTGGGGGGTTATTGAGGATAGGAAAGTAGCGGAGGGGGGCAGATGTGGCTGCTGTTAAGCAGTTTTAAATATTCAGTGGATTAATTTATAGGTCTCCTAGTGCCCCCCCCCCCATCTAGCTTGACCAAATTTAATGCAAACCAGGGAGAGAGACCACGGGAAGGAAGTGGAAAAGGAAACAAACAACCGTGATATATTATGCCACAAAAGGCTCCAAAGACTAGAATTTTCTTTTTCCAATATTCAGTTTACTGGATGCAATTCAAACGCCATCAACACCAACGGATCATGCATATCACCTCGTTTCGTGTACAACTTTGTCAAAGTGAATAGCGTTGAAATACAAGATTAATCCATTTAACAAACTCACTGGTAGTATTTCATAGTGACATTCTTCAAAATCCACCATCAGTGGATTTCACTATGAAATACTACCAGTGAGTTTGTTAAATGGATTAATCTTGTATTTCAACGCTATTCACTTTGACAAAGTTGTACACGAAACGAGGTGATATGCATGATCCGTTGGTGTTGATGGCGTTTGAATTGCATCCAGTAAACTGAATATTGGAAAAAGAAAATTCTAGTCTTTGGAGACTTTTGTGGCATAATATATCACGGTTGTTTGTTTCCTTGACCAAGTTCAATGGCTGCTTGGATTTTTCTCTTCTAACCTGAGGATGGGGTAAAAGCATCCTGAAAGTACAATAAGTATCTGTTAAGAGGATAACCTGGGCATACCAAACTCAAAACTCTGAAATATCTTCAAAGAATAATTGTCTGGTGTGATTTACCAGTTTTGTCTCTTTAAATGCCACCCAGTGCAGAAAGGATAGGGTGCAAATAAAGACTGTCTCAGACACTGGCATTTTTTTTTTTTTGAAGTACTGTGTGGAATTGATATAACCACAAGCACATGCTGTGTGGAACTGATAGAACCACAAACATACACCATGCAGGAAATCAAAACTGTTGTGTAATCAACTTTGTATTTTCCTCTGAGACAGTGCATGAAAGAACAGAATTGTGCATAAGGCAGTCTTCAGTTTGAGTGGACAAGACAAGTAAAATTTTTCTGTGAGCATAGTGTTTTACTGAGTTCAGTGTTGGCCATAATAGTGGATGGATGAATTGAAAATTGTTATTAGAAATATTTTTATTTAGCCACTTTCCACAAAGGCTCAAGGTGGCTTACAGTCAACACACCTTCAAAGCCTATAATAAGAATTAAACCAAGAATGTACAGAATTAACTTGCCAATTAAAACAACACTCCCCCAAAACAATCCAGCAGTCAGCATCTGTGCCAAGTCCAGGTTGCTCCAGCGTGGGTCAATGTAGGTAGTTCAGGTGAGTCCAGCCAGCAAGATATACTTGAAAGAGCTGCACCTACCTACGGTGGGTCCAAGAACAGCCTAATCCCTTCATGTGGTCTACCAAAGACAGATTTAGGCCAGCTAAGGTAGGCAGCGTTTCCCCCACCCCCTCCACCAAGCCTCAACCCCAGTCAGCCCTTGCTTGTCTTGTCTGGATTCAGTTGCTTGTTCTTGATCACAGAATTCAGGCACTAGTTGTTTAGCATGCTAGAAATTCTAGTGGCTGCAAACACTTCTGAATTCTGCCAGAACTGCTGCATATATTTTTTGGCGCTTGGGCTGCTGCTTAGCTTTTTGGCGCCTGCTCTGTCCTTGCTTTAGAAAGCTTCAGAGATCAGGTTACTTTCTGTATGACTTCTGTCATCTAGGCTGGCTGTGTACAGTTACACCAGCTAGCTAAATGCAGGGAATGGTTTTAGATTTCTAGATGTTAGTGTTGCATTTGCCTGGACAGACCAACAAAAGAAACTTTCTTGCGTTTTATATACCAGTCCTTGCCCTCAAAGTGGTATTGGCACAGTACATGTGTTTTGAAAATGCCTGAATCCAGCCTGACTATTTACTAAATATGTACTTTTCTTTTGACTGCTAGGATCTTCTTTTGTGCTTGGACTTCTGCCAACAATAATGTTTACCGGCATGTATAGTTGCTTGAACAGCATTTTTTAGGTTCTAGAGATCTCTGGATGCCCATATAAGCCATGTTTGTTCAGATTCTGTTGCTGAAACATTTCACTTTCTACAGTTTTAGTTCTCAAGGTCATGCTGTTCTTCTATTCTTGGATTGAGGAGGCAGGGAGAAAGGCATTTTTAGCAGTTTTATTGTACCTGACATTCACAAGTCAGGGTGGATGAAATCCAGCTTTTAAAAAACTGGTTTAATGTGACAGATTATTAAGCAATGATGGTTACAATACATTTCTCAATAATTTAATTTAAAATGAAATTTAAGAAAGTCTGAATGTGTAATCTTGTAAAACTGAATTGGTGATGTTCTGTTGAACACATGGTCTGGTATGTAACACTACTTTATTTTTCATATGTAGAAGTACATGTAAAGGAGTTGTCCTTTACACAATGGGATTAGAGAATCTCACTGTGATCAAACATGTAAGGGTAGCCCATTAGGACTCAGGGACTGACCAGCTACTATTGGTGTTGAGAGTCTAATCCTTGCATCCCAGATACGTCTCACTAGGCTATTCCAAGGAGCTTGCTAGAATGATGTCGTACTCCTAGTTAACTTCAAGGACAGCAACTTCTACAGTTCTCAACTGCTGAATATGGATTGTTCTGATGAACAATAACTTTCATGTCACAGTACTAATTCTATACTAAGTTTAGGGGGCTTGGGGATGAAATGCATATTTTGGGCCTCTTAAAGCATCTGAGTTTGTGAACCCCAATGCTATGGGCTTTTCTGTCAGTTGCCCCATAATTTACATTCTGTACAGCACCTGGCACACTGACACTGACTAAAAGCTAATAGCAGTGTGCCAGCAGTTAAATAACAGCATTTGTTCATACAAGAAGGGGAAACAAGCTGCCCAAAGCACAAGGTTGAGAAAATGAAGGGAATTAAATGTGGCATGTAGCCCCATGTCTAAATATGTCAACATCAAGGTTAATAGAATGTCTACCTCATTAAATTTCTTCAGGTTTTTAAGTGACTTATCAATAAGCAAGTTATTGGATATATGGCTCCCATTAACTTATCTGAATTACAGCATTGTTACTAGGCTAGTAAAACACAGTTCTGACATTTTTAAGATGAATATTTTCCCTTGCTGTAATTCAGATAAGTTAATGGGGGTTATTTATTCCATTATGTCATTGGAAGGTTTTGAAATACATGATCAACTCCAGGCTGTTCATATTGACCCTAGGATGTCTTAGCCCTTTTTTCAAAGTCTTTCTGGAATGCATTTTGCCTGGCATTTTGTCTTTCACCTTGAAGGGCGACTCTGCCTTTTGATTCAGGGTCAGATATGATTACTTAAAGCAATGTCTCTGAGACAGCAATGAACTTGGTTTTCTTTCTCTTTCCCAAAGGATCCAGAAGTTGCTACTCACAGCCATGAAAGCTCCTCTGGAAGATGCCTGCTGACCCTGCTGGGTATTGCGTTCATCTTAGCTGGAGTGGTGGTTGGTGGAGCCTGCATCTACAAGTACTTCATGCCAAGGGTAATGGAACAACTTATTTTGGCAGGGAAAGATTGGCAAAAACAAACATAAGCAATTTAAAGCAAAACATTTCATAAAATACAAGCATGGATGTAATTGAATTGAGAGTTCATAAACAATGAACTGTATCCCAGGTCTGTGACCCTTCAAAGATATGGCAGTGAAGCATCATGAAACTTAAATGTCGAATAGCAAAGCAGATGTTCAAAACCACCTCATCTCTCCTGGTTTATTTGCATAAACAATTGTGATTGTTCGTTTTCAGTGACACGTGCTAGAAGTAGTAAGAGGGCCGGAGTGGCCCCTGAACTTACAGGGCACGTTCCTGGTGGACCACTGCCCAGGTGGGCTGCTTGCAGCCAGGAGCAAGCAGAGCCAAGTGCCTGTGTGGTGCTGGCAACTTGGCAGGTTTCATTCTGCTTCATCATGGTGCAGGAGGAAGCAGCAGGTAGGCTGAGACCCTGGCCAAATCTGAGCTGGGTAGTCTGCACTGCTGCCTTAATAAGCACACTGTTGGCCACTCTGCCAGTCTTGTTCCTGACCCAGTGTAACTTCCCAGTCTGCCCTGGTATCAAGTCTGTGCAAAATACCCTTGGAAACTCTCTCATCATTAGGCTGGAGGTGCATATGCTTGCACTGCTTCCTTTCCTTCTGTTTCCCCCTGAACTTTTAATGAGATAAATACATGTAGCACATGTCCAATTCCATAGTCCTCTCCTGAATTATGTGTGAGTTGTGTGTGCAGCAGCTTGACATCTAAGAGTGTCAGAAGCTAACAGTTGTTTCATTTTAGCATAAAGTGTACAATGCAAAACTATGCATTGAAGCAGAGAAACATCCAGATAATGCTGCAGAACCGTACTTCCTACCCATTGCCGAAGTTGCTGATATCCGGGAGGATGATAACATAGCAATCATTGATGTCCCAGTTCCAAAATTCTCTGACAGCGATCCTGCAGCTATTGTTCATGATTTCGACAGGGTGAGTTGTTTAAAAAGTACTGTGCTTTGAATGGTCTAACACTATAGGAACTTGACCGGGAGAATACCTGTTTGAGGCAGCAGTGTTCACTTTAGATCCCGCTTTAGAGTCCCATCCCTAAATCCCGTGGCTTCCCAATATCAGTGGTTCCTCTTGCACGCATATTTAAACAACTGTGTGCTGAGTCTTATAGTAGAATTGAGTTTTGAAGACGTTAAAGGAACCCTTGTGGACCGTCCACAGAGCTGTTTTCTGTCTAGAGCCAGCCTATAAGAATAACTTGAATAGCTTGGGCGCTGTTTAAAGTTGTGCACAGAAATGTCGACACATGCTAGTCTTCATAGCCGAGCAGTCCAGTATGCATGACGTTTGAAGGTTCCTGACCTGCCTTGCATAACTCTGCTTGCCAAACACCAGAGGCTCACCTGACTCAATAGAGCTGGCCTTGACAGACTTTCTTTGGCTTTATGAGCCACCCCAAAAATGTTGGAGCCAGACTTATTTTTCAGCCTTCAGGGCTTTATATTTTAATTGCCATACTTTCTAACTATTGCTGTCACCTGATCCTAAGCTCTTCAGTGGCTTGTTCTTTTATGTTAAACAAAAAGCTATAATAAAAGCATTGTAGCATATGAATAAATATGGGGTACCCTGGTTTCATTATAACAATAAGATAACCTCTAATCCGTCACCTAAATAAGCCTTCTACTTCTGAGAATCACCAGGAGGCACTTAGAGTAAATGACGACTGAAAATACCAGGAACCACAGTGAAATTTCTAGCTGCCCTGGCACCTGGAGCTGTTGAGCCCTGTTAGAGATATGTGTTTGGACATGCTTTTAAATCCAGTTTCCCTATTTAAAGAGCATCAAGAAGAAACCAGTGCCAAAGCGTTTCTTTGACTGTAATAAGATTTACTTGGAAATGTGGACTAAAGATGCATGTGCATGTGTGCAGCCCCGTAGCTGCCTTAGGAAGCAGTCTGCCAAGCATTACTGTTCAGTCTCCAGTTTGATTAGGGTTTTCTCACAGGCCTCATTGAAAAAGAATGTGGGCTGTTCAGTTTCAGATTATAAGCATACTTTAATGATGGAACTGTCAGTCAGAGTGCTGTTAAAGAATGTTTTGTTGTTGTGAATAAGCTTAGTCTCTACTGGTGTCTACCATTGCGCTGAGTGGTGTATTGTAGAGGGTTTTTTACACAGCATTCATGTAGCACTGCTATGATAGACGCTACCAAAATGGGTAACAGTAATTGATTTCTCTCCCCATTGATATCTCCCTGTATTACCATTCTCAGAGGCCACCCTGTCTTTTAAAATAATGTCTGCGCAAGAATGTCTTATCCGTACTTCTCAAAAACTGTCCCAAGTTGCCTTTATTTGCAAAATGTGTATGCTCAGAATAGATCTCAAGTTTTATCACTTTCTGTCACGCTTGTGTATTACTCTTGAAAACCTCAGTCTTCTCTGCTTGCCATATCCCCCCCCACACACACACACCGCTTCCAGCTTCATTGTTCTCTTCACATAAGTTTCACAGTTTCAGTAAGCATCTGCAAACCATTTAAATGTAGTAGGAATAAAACACGTTTTCAAAGTCTGCACTCGACTGATAGATCCCTGTATGACTTTTCCTAATAGCTTCTGACGGCCTACCTTGACCTGCAACTGGGTAACTGCTACGTGATCCCTCTGAACACCTCCATTGTGATGCCACCACGGAACCTGATAGACCTCTTCGCAAAATTAGCAGTATGTATTATTTTATCTCTCGAATTAGCCCTGGGGAAAAGAGGTTCTCTGTGGAGGTAGAATTGCTTGTTCCCCTGGCTGCAGTAGCCTGTGTGCCACGGTGAGTGCTTAAGCGGCTTTAGCTGCAGTCTGCTGTGGCCTTCCGAGCACTCGGGAATTGCTTGGTGTTGCTCAACAAATGTCTTGTAGGTTGTATTATTGATATCAAAGATACACCTGGTATCCAGAAGGACACAGGTGAACAATGTGAAGGGCACATTTCTTTGAACAGGCTAGCTTGGTAAGGTACGAAGCTTCTTGATTTGCATGGAGTTCTTCAGGGAGAAGGGAAAGTACAAAGTTAACCTAAAAGCACGTAAAAAGGCTTCAAGGACAGGTATCTCAAACATGCATATTTCAGGAGTTGGGTCCTATGAGTAAACACTTTATTTAAGACTATGAATTCTGGGGAGAAAATCAGCTCATAAAACACAAAACGTTTCAGAAAGGCACCTCCCAAATTAACTGTGTACTTCACTTGCTTAAATGCTGCATGAAAAGGTTATATGTTTTTAATGAGCACGGGAGTGAAATTGCACAAAGAAATTCCTCAGTATGGGTGTCATTTGACCTTAAAGAGATCTGAAAAGAAACCCCAGCTCATACTCTGCCACTGCAGAACCCCAGTTGTCGTTTTCATAGCTTCTGGCACAAAGGGGCTTGGAGACCTTGCTTCTGAGGAATCAGTTTTGTGAATATGGAATGTTATTTCTCCAAATTTGAAAGGTCCCTTGTGCCACTTCATTTGTTTACTTGTGATAACATACTGTGTGTAAAGGCTGTTTACATAATGGTAGTTCAGTTGAAACACCACAGTTACAGAGCAAACGAGGCTACTCTTTGTGGATTGAGCTGGATCCAGGTGTAATGGCAGGGTGCCTGGCTACTGCCTCCCTTCCCTTAGATGGTGTCAGCTGACTTCACTAAACTGAGCTGCTGTGTAGAAGCCCAGTGGCCTATTGGCTTCAGCCAGGGAAAAAAGACACAGAACATCCCCAGAAAGCTCATGGGGCAGAAGCAAGAAGGCTGTTTCATTTTGGTAACTCTGAGCCGAGTCTGCCTGTCACTGATGTCCAACAGCATGATCTATACAGGGGTGCTGCTTTTAAAATATTGTCCCCTTCTGCTACAACTTGATGGGGGGGAGGACTTAAAAATTGGCAGTGGCATGAAGTCACATCAGGGAAAACCCAGAGGTAACATCAGTCTTCTCTAGGAATTGCCAGAAACTCTCTGTTTCCACTGTTGTTACCTGCCCTGAGCCCACTTATGGGAAGGGTGGGCTATAAATGTGAATAAATAAATAAAATAGAATTTCTGGTGATGTCTAGCGGGACATAATGCCACTTCCAGTTTTTTCCCCAGAAGTGATATCAAACTGTTGCCAACAGACCCCCCCAACCCCAGTCTGCTGCTGGTTGCCAGGCCATGCTTGGTATGCATGTTTGCATTTCAAGAGTGTTGCCTTGATAAAAATCCTTCTGCTTGGATTTTTTGTTAGAGCTTTTGGCTGCGTCATGTTGTCAGGTTCTTCCGTGCAGTCATGTGTGCAGAAGGAGAGTTCTATGCAGAGGGAGATTAGTGTGAGCTGTGCTAGTTAAGCAGGAAGCTGGCATTCATTTCTCTAATAGCTGTAGCTTTCCCTCCAGTTTCTGTCTCACTTGAACAGTGATTTGTAGATGTTATGTGTTGGGCACTCAAGGCTCAGATCATTTCTGTTTTGATAAGTTAATGGTGTAAATTTTGTGTCTCCCCCCCCCCCCTGTTTTACTTAGACTGGTTCCTATCTGCCTCAAACTTATCTTATTCGTGAAGAAATGGTTGTGACGGAAGAGATTGATAATGTGTCAGATCTGGGCATTTTCATTTATCAGCTCTGTGCAGGGAAGGAAACTTTCAGACTTCAGCGCAGAGATAAGATCATGGGTGAGTACTTCAGGATGTCAAGTGGGCTTCACCCGCCAGTAGAAATCAAAAGCTAAAACTGGAATTTAGCTGTCTTTCAGGAAGTCCAGAAAAGAACATTGGGTTGGATCCAACCAGCTTTTCCGCTGGGGAAAAAGAAAGGAAGGGACCCTTAGATACCCAAAAAGACCATGGTGGAGATCAGAGAACTTGCATGAAGCCATCTATGGGGGGCGGGGGGGCTATAACTTTATAGTGTTTCAGTCAAGTTGCTTCCTTTATAAGAACTGTGAGAGATGGCACTGGAGTACAGAAACAAAGGATGTTTCTACACTTCCCTACTTCCCTGTAGAATCTTGGGAGCTGTTAGTTTTAAATTACATTCAAGATCCCAGGTACTGCTGCCTGTTCCTTACAGAACTGGGCGTCTGGGTGAGGGGGAGTAGTGTAGTGATGCATGTAGCAATATGTAGACATCTTGGAGGGGATGGGACACAAAATCTCTCTGGTTTATGTTCAGCTCAGTTGATCTTTTCCCCCCTTATCAGGTGTCCAAAAACGCTCTGCTGAAAAATGCCACTCAATCCGGCACTTTGAAAATGAGTTTGTTGTGGAAACCAAGATCTGCCAGCAGTGAAAAAGACAGGTTGGAAAGTGACAAATCTCGCATCTTCACCGAGAAGTCCAAGCTTTACATTTTAAACTTCAGAATTAAAAAAAAAGTGCAGTGATAATCAAAAGCCTTATGCTTTTTTTGTGTATTGCTTAGATTTAAGGAAAAAGAAAAAAAATAAGCACGCTCCAAAGTCACCATGTTGTTTTGTTTTGCTTTGGGCCCCTAGTGTTACTCACTTTTCCTGATACCAATCTGGAATGGAAATTTGCACAACAACAGCACTTGCCCAAGGAGCATTTGTTTCTGAGTTTTTAAAACGCAGGAAAGACCCTGTGTAAACAGTGCCCAATTCCTGCATAGGACTGTAGTCTAATCATCAGCTGACATCACAAAATGAAACTAACTTTATTAATCTGTGGTTTGCACATTTTTTAATAGCTTGGCTAATAGCTCTGCACTCCATCTCCTGGTAGGAAAAATCACACAAAGACTTCTAAGGTTTATTTGAACTTCCTGTGTGAAGCATGAAAATTTTAACCTTGGTAATTATCAGCAGCTAACTTGGCTTCTTTCATTTTGTGCAATTACTGTATTGAACTTGTATGTATATTTGGAAACTTTCCTGAACTTACCTTACAATCTCTTCTCTTTCTTCTTCTTTTTGTTTTTTGTTCTGTTTTTTGTTTTTGGTGATACTTAGTTATATCTTGGTACAGTTGCTCTTTAAAGCTTTTGTTATTTTGGTTAGTATCTTAAAACTGGTTTAACTCTTTAACTACCAGCATATGCAATTACAGCCTGATTTGGACCAATTGTCAGTGTTTCCGTAGCTGTAAATTCCCTCCCAGATCTACATATGACATTTTTTAGATCAGAACTTCTTATGAGCAAGATAAGAGTCATTAACTGCAGTCAGAGAATTGCCCTTGTTGAGGACTGCAGCACAAGATGGTAAAGGGATTGTTAGAGAGCTGCTAAGCTGAGTGTTTTATAAGGGACTTTATATTTCACACAAATCCTGCAACCCTCTAATAAATGTTTCTCTAAGACTATCGTGGTGGCCTCCCTTCTTGATGCGAACTTGGTAGTAACAGTGTCATGTTCCTAGCCTGTTGCTCCTTTACACAGAAAATATTCAAGCTATTTGTATTCTGTGGGAGTCCAGAAGAAGACCAGAATGTGGTTTTTCCAGAGTATGCTCCAATTTCTGGCTCTCGTTTAGGGGATATGCTTGAAAGTCTGCGTGGAGTGTTGGGATCTCGGAAAAGGGGGCTAGATAGGATTTCCAGCAGTTGTGGGCAGAGTGCCTATCCTCATTGCTAGGAAAACAATACGATGTTGCAGTGGGAATATTATTATTCCCCTGAAAGTTCCCTACAGTTATTACGATGACAGCTTGCTGCTTTTCAGATCCCCTGATGAAACTCACAAAACTACAAGGTAGTTGGTCTCTTGTTTTGTGGAAGCCTCCCTCCCCACCCCAGCTAAGCTTGATACATCTGTAAGGAAACAATAGCATTTGTCCACTAGATGGTGCAAGCATCCACATAAAGAAATTTAAAACTTTCTGTTTTGTTTTGGGCAATGGATAGGAACCAAGTCAAGTTTCGCAACAGGGAGAAATGGGTTCTCTCTCATTCGGGAGAGTCTCTAGAATGTCTGGTGTTGTGCTCTGCTCTGGGGTCATCTTGCCTTCCCATGCCCAGCTGTGGAGAGCCAGTGTGGTGTGGCGGTTACAGCATGGGGCTAGGAGACCCCAGTTCAAATCCCTACTCTTCCATGGAAGCTTGCTGGGTGACTTTGGGCCAGTCCCTGTCAGCCTAACCTTACCTCACAGGGTTGTTTTGAGGATAAAGCGGAGGAAAGCAGAATGGTGTAAGCTCTTTGCACCCACATTGAGCAGAAAAGCTTGAGTATAAATGAGGTCAACAAATACATATGGTAATGAACATCTACTGCTGAAAAGGAAGGAGGATGGGTGCAGCACCATCTGTTATAGTTCTGTGGACCTTTCTGAATTGTGTGCATATACTGTGGCTATGGTTACCCTCTGGACTGCATGTTTCAAGTATTAAAGAATTGCACTCTTACATGAGACAAATCCCCTATGGCAGGTAGTTGGGGCAGGGAAGCATCCTTTGCATTGGGGGATAGGGTAGGGGATTTTGTATTGGACCCCCCCCCCCATACTAAAAACCCTTGAAGCCAACTCGAGAGCTGACTAGCATAGTGTCCAGGTGCCAGAGATATGGCCTGGCAAGGCTCATCTAAGCCATGGAGCCCCTAGGTGGCTGTAAGTAAAGCCCCGTGCTTTCAGCCTCTTTCCCTCCCTAGTCTACAAAACGGGATAATACTGAATCTCCTTGCAGGCTGGCAGTAAGAATTACAACAAGGTAAGTTACTGTTGCTGATTTTGTTAATGCTCCTTTGCCGATGTAGTGTGTCCCCTTAACATTACTGCCCCTGCAGGTTTGTGGATTAGAGCTGGAAGTCACAAATACTTGCTGTACTTTTGGACCAACAGAATCAAGTGCCGCTAAAAGTTTTGCTTTCCGGAAAGTTACTCAGCATTTAGAAGGAAATACTTGACTGTTTCCGGTAATTAAGATACTCCCCCCCCCCCATTAGTCATCCAAAACAGCTGGTGTCGTTCTCCCCTCCGTTGTATCCTCCCAACCACCCTGTGAGGGAGGTTAGGCGGAGAGTGTTTGGCTGGCCCGAGGCCACCGAGCAAGCTGGCAGTTTGAACCTGGGTCTCCCAGATCTTGGTTAAATGCTCTGAATATTAGACCACACTGGAAGTTCCTAAGCAGCTTGCAGGGGTGTGGCTTCCTTCTCTAATCCATGGAGAAAGGAGGCCAGGTGAGTTGCTTCAAGATAGGATTGCGGCCAGGCAAGCCGGATCTCATCAGGGCCGGGACCAATGTTCCCTCTAAGGTGTGGAGTCTTGTGAGCAAAAATTCTGCTTTGTGGGCAACTGGCATTAAAGTTGTGAGCGAGCAAAGTTGGCTGCTGCAGAAAGTAGTCGGCTCTGGAGCCATCCTTCCTGAGCTAAGGCAAAAATGTGTGAGCTGGAGGCTAAAAAACTGAGCTAGCTCACACTAACTCAGCTTAGAGGGAACACTGACCGGGACACAGGTGGGCATATCAAGCCGCCTCTCTGAAAACGTCCAAGCCCCAGTAGAGGTCACCAGAAGTCACCATGACTTCCTGACACACACGCACATTAAAAAAAATTTGAAAGGATTGCGGACAAGGTCTTAACATGCAAAACAAGCTTGCGTGGTTGAGGTAGGGTTGGGAGCAAAAAAGAGTAGTCTCCATACCAGCTGTTTTCCATGAGTTAGCTGTCCAGATCAGAATCTGGGAAAGCTGGGTTCAAATCCCCACTGGGCCACCTTGAGCCAGTTGCCCACAGCCTAGCCCTACCTCACAGGGTTGTTGTGAAGATAAAATGGAGGGAGAACCCTTTCCACTGCCCTGAGCTGCTTGCCGGAAGACCGGGGGGAAACACATGCAAGGGAGATGCTAACTGAAGCTGTTGCACTAGAAGCTGCAGAGCTGTGTGGGAGGGTGAACTGTGCTTTGGGGGAGGTGTGTGGGGAACCAGTAGCTGTGCAAAGCGAAGTATGATCTGATGTGGTTTGTGCAAGGGGAAAACCCCAGTGCAGAAGGCAGGTGGGCTATGCTGTGGGCTTTAGGATCCTCGCCAGCAGCTTGCTCCAAAACAGACTAGTTTTTTCCTATTCTCTCCAGCAGCAAGTCAAGTTGGGTAATATTTTTTCCTAACCAAGTATTTGTCAGAACTACTTCTCAAATAACCTCATGATGCATGCTAGTTTATAAATATCTGTGGGCTACTAACTTTTTCCTTTATCTGGCTTACACTTAAGTATAGCTTTGAACCAGGCCATGTTCTTTAGCCAGGGCAGTGCAGAGTGCTTTCAGACAGCTTGCTAAGTCATGGTATGGAGAGCTACTTTTCCATATCCTCATGGGTCAGGTTTTGTAAAAGTGATCAAGGGTAGGGAGGAGACTGGCCTTCGATATTTTGAGTCGTTTCGTAAGGACTGGTGTAGTACGGAGGCCAAGACAGGCTGAATCTCACCTGCACAGTGAACTCACTGTCACTCCCAGCCCCCTATCCCCATATGGGACAGTGATGCTCTGTATTCTTGGTGCTTTGGGGGCAACAGTGGGAAGGCATAAGAACATAAGAGATGCCAATGTTGGATCAGGCCAAAGGCCCATCCAGTCCAACACTCTGTATCACACAGTGGCCAGAAATACCAGGTGCCATCAGGAGGTCCACCAGTGGGGCCAGGACATTAGAAGCCCTCCCACTGTTGACCCCCCCAAGCACCAAGATGACAGAGCATCACTTGCCCCAGAGTCCCTATCTATACCTTGTGGCTAATAGCCACTGATGGACCTCTGCTCCATATGCTTATCTAATTCCCTTTTGAAGCCGTCCATGCTTGTAGCCGTAGGCTTGTCGCTTGTAGGCTTCTGGAGCTCTGGCCCTGCTGGTGGACTTCCTTATGGCCCCTGAGCTTTGGCCACTGTGTAACACATGGGCCACTGGCCTGATCCAAATTGGCTTCTCTTACAATCTTAACATGGGGTTAATCCTTACCTTACAGGCTTGGTGTGTGGTGAAATAGCGTATCTGACCAGGATCTGGGAGACTCGCACTCAGATCCCCTCACTCTGCCACACAAGCTTCCTGAGTGGCCTTTGGCCAGTCCCACACTCTCAGCCTCGCCTACTTCACAGGGTTGTTGTGAGGATGAAATGGAGGGAGACTGATGGACATTGTCCTTGGCTTGGATGGGTGTCATAAAAATGCACAACATAAATTAGTTGAATTGGTATGGATAGATATGCTGATTTACATATACAAGGAAAGAACAGTTATTCTTTTCAAGGTCTTGGTGGGGTGGGTGTGTACTCAACCAGAGCTGAGGTTCCCATTTAGCCTGAAAGAAAAGAGAAGCAGTAGATATTCTTCAATGCCATTTATACATAATTGATTAAAAAAAACCAGCATCCGTTTTAACTGGAATGGTCGGGGGGAAATGCAATTTTATCCCCAGTGGGGAGAACCGGTTTCAGAAATCCAGATTTTATACATTCAGGAAATTTGATTTATTTATTTTTATTTATTTATCCTTAGATTTGTATCCCGCCCTACCCCAAAGGCTCAAGGCGGCTAACAAGGGCACAAAGTGCCAAGATTAAAACGATAGAAACACATAATACAGTAACAAAATCTCAATGCTCCATTTGACACAAGATGGGTAGATCTTAAACGCAATGGTAGCTTTCCTAGTGCCCTATTTTGGGGACGGCAGTTCAAAAAGCCCCATGACCTGCTTCTGCTAGCTGGATGTCTGTTAATACAGACTCCTAACACCACAACCACCCTGAGCAGGCGCAGATGAACGTCAATCATTTTGGACGTATGCAGTGCATATTCCTACATGTAGTGCTTTCTCATCATTCATTTATATTCTACTGGTCTAATGAGCTCTGAATAGCATATGTGGGATTATCATAAGAACATGAGCCATGTTGGATCAGGCCAATGGCCCAACCAGTCCAACAGTGCATCACACAGTGGCCAAAAACCAGGTGCCATCAGGAGGCCCGCCAGTGGGGCCAGATCTCCAGAAGCCCTCCCACTGTAGCCCCCAAAGCACCAAGAATACAGACATCCCCTGTGGCTAATAGCCACTGCTCTGCTCCCTCTTGAAGCT